TGAAATGCCAGTGTTGAAATGTATATTTATATGAGGTCTAGATTTGTTATTTGTTATAATTCAAAGTAGGTACTGAGAGGTGGCTTTCATTTTAACAGCACACTTGTGCATTGCTGCAACTGTATTCATCCTCTTGCATTTTCTCCTTTATCGTTATTTGCAATGGTTTTTGCCTAATACCCTGAAACGTCATCTGAATGGAAATGGTCTGGACTACCAAGGAAAGTATTTATAAATAAGCATTTGGCAGAGAATGTTTGATACTGTGTGAACTTTGGTTGCAAACATTTTAATGATGCCGGCCTTATTTTAAAAGAAAAAAAAGTTGATTGTAAATCAGCAAAATGTGCTGGGCTTTCTAAGCTCCGAGCTGGCAACAGCTTGTTGAGAGTAAATCCTCTCAGGGAAGGTTTTGCTAATCTGAATAAATTCAATTTCAAAATCCTTCCTTGATCTAAGCTTGCTTAAGCTCTCACCAAGGCCTAAGGACCCTGAGGGTCAATTCCAATAACAAAAGATAAGAAAAATCTGCCCTTTCTCATATCTCCTTGCAATACACTATAAGCTGTTACCTCACTGCAAAAAATCTTTAGGTTTAATGAAGTCGCCTTTTGATACTTTTTAAGGATGAAGTTCAATGTTTCCCACCCTGGTGCATGTCTGCTCTGCACGCCACCCAGAACTGATGTCACAGGACCTGACCAGCTCCTTTCCTTAGGCTGAATTATGCCTGGAAAAGGAGAAGTCCTGGTAATCACTGCACTGAACTGAGTAGTTCTAAGAAAATGTGATAAATGGAGCTTTATAAATTAGATTTTTTTTTCCTAACTGATATCAGGTTAGGCAAGCTGCAGTTTATTTAGATAGAGAAACCTGATTAAAAGTCAAACAGGAGAAAGCGTAGCCCAGAAAAGCTGAACAAATCTGGGGCTATGCTGTGATTCTGCGAGCCTCTCCTGCTGTCACTGTACAGGTGTCCTTCGGTTTACACACCCATTACTTCTGAGTGCTGCACGCATGAGCTGAAAATAAAAGAAAAAATGTAAACATGTGTGCTATTTTTCTTCCAGATAGTTCTGTTCCATCTTCCTTTTTGTTGAGGCTTTTTGTTCTGAGCTGTAGTTTATACTAAGAGTCTGTGAGACCTTCTCTTATTGCATTAATTGGGTAGGTAATGCAAAAATCACCAAAACTGTAGCTTTTGAATAACGTCAGCTACTCAGCTGGTAAAAAAAATGGTTCTAATACGGCTATACTCTTTGTACCTACTGAGATTCTTGGATCAGTATGCCTCAGAAATCAATTCTGTAATGATAATTGAACTTACATAAAGGAAGTACCAAAAGGATTTGGTTTCTTCCTCAGGGAAGAGGGATGCTATCCAAAATGAATTTTCAGAAAGTAGAGAAGGCAGTGATGGAGAAAATAAAGTCTTACAGTTAAAGGAAAAACAGCATTCAGATGGCTGTGAGCTATATATGGGGTAGAAGGATTTGGTGGAAGTTAAAAATTAGTTGTGGTTTGCACTGAAACTGATGGAAGACTGACCTCTCTATCAATGTTGGATCAGATCTGAGGGTAGCTAAAATGAATGGATAAAAAAAGCCTAAGAATTTCTGGTAATATAAAATCAAATTTACTGCCTTTTTTTTTGTCTCAGTGCTGAAGGAAGGGCTATATAGAATGTTCCTGTGTATGAGATTATTATTTTTGCATTACTATTACTCTAAAATTGTTTCCTCTATATTTCTATGAGACTAGGTTATCTTAGTTTGGTTTGGTGAGCCTGTGGTCATGTTCATGGGGAGGGGCAGGGGCATTGTATCGGTGGGTGAGCTCAACTGTGAGGCTCTGCCTATGGGTGGTGGTCGGGGAACGCGCGATCCCAGCCCCAGCGAGGCACGGCGCTGGCGCTCGCAGGGACTTTGCCTCGCTCTTAGGCACTTAACGACTCTTCAGCTACCTCACAGGTAAAAGGTAGCAATAAATGTATGTAATAATGTCAGAGGATTAGTATGAGAATTAATTGCTTAGCCTGCATGAAAGAATAGAGGGTCTTCAGGGGAAGCCCTGGAAAATGAAGGTCTCATGAATGAAGAGTATTGGGGGAGCCTAGGGCTTAAGTGAACAAAACCCCATTTAATGGACTCCCATTAGACTCCAGTAGGGATCCCATTGAGGAGCAGTGAATGGAGGAGGTCCAGCAGTGAAGGAACATATTAATCCTTTTCCTTGGTCCTTTTTGTTCTACCAAAGAAGTGGACTACTAACTATTCCGCAGTCTGTTGTATAGCTGCTGTACATCTGCTGTATCTTTTCCCCAAAAGGTAGCAGTGATAACATTTTATTTTTTCCTTCCACCTGGGAAGAGGTGGTAACGTTTTGAATGAGTCCAGTGACATACTTTGCAGAGATCTGGATTGTAGCCTGTCTAGCAAATCAAAGCTGGTGCTAGTTTTCCAGGGTTTGTGAAAAGCAATAGCTCCCTCTGTACCTTGGTTTGAGCCTGTCTAACTGAACAGGCAGCGGTTTTATGACAAGCAGTGTCTAACGCCCTACCTGCTTGCTGTGCAGGCCCAGTGAAAGTACATAGGTGCCACGTTGTTAGTATTTATTATTACTTAGGAGGCATTAAAGTGTGTCAGGGAAAAATGAAAGGCAGTATTCTCACGTGGAGACTAAGAGAGGGCTGCAAGCAGCTGCAACGTTAATGGAGAGGCTTCCAGCCGGTGAGACACTACTCATGTGGGGCGCAGCATGCACCGTGCTATGTGCTGTGGATGGGAGTTATGAGGCCACCCTTATAAACCTGCCTGAGCAGGGTTTGACATTTCAGCCACACAAAGATCTCGTGCTGCTCT